CTCTTCTCCCTACTCCTGCTCTGTATCTCACCTGCTTCGTCCTCCCTCGCCGCCTCGACCATGAGCAGCAGGCATCCCTCGAAGTCTCGCATCCACCCCTCCGAGTCAAATAGCGGCCTAACCTCCGTCAGACTCTCCTCCTCCTCTTCCTCCTCCTCCTCGTCTACAACAACCACCACCTCATCCTCCCTCACCTGCTCTCCAGGCCATGCCTCCCCCCGATCATCATCCTCTTCCGCAGGCGTTCTAGCATCCTCCGGTCCTCCAGCAGGCGCCCTATCAACTCTGCATACTCTCCTGTGGTCCTTGTCACTGTCTCTGACCCTGGCCCGAACCCTCCCAGCACTCCCGTCGCCACCCTCGACACGATCGTCTCCCCCGGCAGCGTCACCACCGCGATCCCTCCCCACAGCGCGTCCACCGCCGTCGTATGTGCGTTGTAGGTGAAGCTGTCGAGGAAGACGTCGGCAGCGGCGGCGCGGCGGATATGAGCATCGAACTCTCTCCTCTGCGCGAAGACGATGAGCGGGGAGAGGAGGGGTCCGGCCTCCTTACGGATGTTCTCGTTGCTCTCCTCCCCCTCGCTCACCAGCCACAGCTGCACCTTGCAAGGGGTCCGCTCGCTCGCTCCTCCTCCTCCTCCTCTGCCTCCTCCCCTGCCCCTCTCCTTGCAGCGCAAGATGCCATCTCTCCAGATGTGGAACGACTCCGGCTCGATCTTGTACAGCCCGTTGAAGTTGGCAACTACCAGCGCGTCCTCCTCCAGCCCCTCCTGTCTCCTTAGCGCCCTCCTGTCGACCTCGTCGTAGGGGTAGCAGACCCTGTGGTCGTTGACCTGGTAGTGATGTTTCATGTACACGATCCTCTCCGCTACAAACTGAGCGTGTTCGGGCGGTGCGACCACCTGGTCCAGCACGATGTAGTCGACGAACTTTGCGCCTGAGGTCCCTGGATGTGCCAGCCACGTCACCTGGAGCAGAGCTGGGCGGAAGGCCATAATGGTGAGCCTTTCCTTGTTGTAGTCGATGTCGACCAGGACGTGCATGGAAAGTTGGTTGATCCTCGATGCGATTTCTGCGTCAGACTGCCCATACAGCTCCAGGAAGCGATCACCACCAACGGACTCCCGTATCCTCCTCCTGAACGACCCGCCATCGTCCCCGTTGAGCGCGATTGCAAACGCAGACACCTTGCTGGCGTCATGGCGAGCGAAGACAGTCTGGATGAGATGAGAGGTGACGTGCTGCCTGTAGTCCGCCATCATGTACGCGACGTTCACCTTTCCCCCCTCCCCCGCGGGCAACGGGACTCGCTTCAGGTCCGCGTCCACCAGGAGGCTCGACACCTTGTCGTAAGCGTGCTGCGCATGCGACAAGGCGATCTTGAGCATGATCTCAGGCCCGAAGGGCGAGAGGAGGGAGTAGTAAGGGTTCACTGTCGGCACTTTCCCTTCCTCCAGCTGAGCTCTGGTGGCGTTTAGGACACGCTCGAACATGATATCTCGGTCGTCCCAGTCCACGAGCTCCTGCATGGCCGTGTAGAGGTGCAGCACGGCTTCGCGGCTGAGGGGGTTCAGCCATAGAGCATGCTCGTACATCTCCTTGGACTTAATGTTCTCCCTAGTCTCCTTCAGCGCGTTCGCCAGGCTCATGGCGCAGTCGAAGCAACCCGGGTTCACGTCGAACACCTCCTGCAGGATCTCCCGCGCTTGCGCAAACAGCTTGAGCGAGTGCAGGGTCGTCCCGTAGTTGTGCTTCGCCACCCACATGTCAGGAGCCAGAGCAAGCGCTTGCCGGTAGACGTTGACAGCGGCTCTGTGATCGTTGAGGTGGCCCAACAGTGCTCCCAAGTTCACCATGCTGTTCACGTGCTCGGGATCGATCTCCAGCGCTCGCTCGAAGAACTCCCGTGACGTGCTGTATTCGTGCATCGCCATCAAGGCACTGCCAAGGACGTGAGCGAGCCTTGCTGCTGCTACTGCTGCTACTGCCTCACCTTGCTTTCAGGAAGAGGCTCTCGGTCGAGTCGGGGTCGACCATGAGCGCCTGCTCCGCCGCCTCTGATGATTTCTCAAACCTCTGTGTCCTGGCGTAGACTTCGGAGAGCAGGCAGAGAGCCTGGACGTCCTCAGGTCTGAAGACTAGAGCTCACTTCCCCCTGTCCTCCATGTACATATCATCTCACCGCTCTTCGATGTACGCAAGAAGACACGTTTCAGCCGCCGCCATGTCTCCGCCCTTGCCCTTTTCAATCGCATACTGGAGGCTGTCAGGATCAGTCACGCTCCCTGCGCAAGTGTCAACCGGGTAGCTCCAGCACCTCCGCCCCCCTCGCTGTCTCATCTATCTCTGCTCTGCATTACTGCCGCCCGGGAGTTGCGCTATCTATCCCCCAAGGATCTTCTCATCTTAGCTATGATACGCTCTCACAAAGCTCACCGGGACCACAGGGCCCATCCTCGAAGCGACGAGCGCGTTGCCCTCCTTTGGATCCTCTGCTTGGCGGAGGTTTACGGGCCCAGGCGTTTTCACACAGGAACAACAGAAGGAGAGTCACCAGGACAAGGAGGAGACGAGAAGGTAAAGAAAATGACATCAGAGGTTAGAGGAAGCAGGAGCAGGAGCAGGAGCAGGAGCAGGAGCAGGAGCAGGAGCAGGAGCAGGAGCAGGAGCAGGAGCAGGAGCAGGAGCAGGAGCAGGAGCAGGAGCAGCGGTGTGGCCGTATAGCCTGGTGGGCTCCAGCATGCCCCGACTGAGACACTCGGGACTCCCTTATTCGACCTTCTAATTGGAAATCACTTCGACTCGCTGCCCCCACAATTTTCCTATTTGACTAAAGATTTGAGCCCCTTGGCGCGCAAAATGGAGGGCTCGGCATGTCCGCACTTCACGCTTGGGCTGCCTGCCATGCCGGACCACGGCGTAGACGATTGCGAGCCGAACAATGGCGTGCGTGGTGAAAGGAGGGAGGAAGAGGAAGAAGGAAGGGAAGAGACACGGGTGGGAGCGAGGGATACGAGGTCGTACAAGACGTTGTCAGAGAGTACGAAATTGAGAATGCACGAGATCATCGAGTTCATCAGGAGGAAAGCAGCAGGCGAGGACCATGGAAGCTACTCGGAAGCCGTGTACGAGCCGGAAAGGTTGGAGCTGAAGCTGCCTCTGACTTGGATGTGCGTGAAGAGATTGTTTGGATATCTGGTCAGGAGGAGAGACCATTCGTGTCCGAGAAAGAGGAGGATACGTGAGGACGAAGAGACAGACAGCGACACCAGTGCTTCCAATGAGTCTGATGACATGCACGAAGGTGATAGAAAGATTGCGGAAAAGAGGGTTTCGCGGTCATTTGGGGTGCTAGAGGGGTACCGAGATGCATTGAAGGAGTATTATTGTTTGCACAACGTTCCTTTCACAGCCATCGGCGTTGTCGAAGAGACTGGGATGTCATTAGAGGAGAATCTAGATGAGTTCATCCAGAGTTCCTCCGTGCATCTGAAGCAGGAGCCATCCGATGGAACCCGACAGCAAGACCATGCAATCAGCCCCAAACGAAAGAATATCAGCCAAGAAAACACACGAATGCAGCAAGAGGCGCAGCATTTGCATTTGCGCAAGCAGCTTAAGAGAACCATTTGTGATGTTCCGAAGGCAGACGGGGGTTCTGTATGGAGTCAATTGGCAACGAAGGGAGATAACCTAGACTCTCAAGAGGAACTCGAACAAGTAGACATTGACATGATGGACAGCGTTGTTGAGCAGCTGCAAGTCTTGTTCGATGCTCCGAGCAAATCAAGGGATGCATGCAGCCATGCTGATAAGAGGAGGAGGTCAAAGGAATCACTGGCTGCGGACGACGCCACTGCCGGAGATGCCATTTCGACAAAGGAACCTTTTGAAGTAGACGACCACCTTTCAATGGTGGCCAAGAACTACAGGTTGCCCCACAATGTCGATTGCAGGGATCTATGGGAACTATGGCACTTAGGAGAGCAGAGGATTATGAATGGAGCTTGCAAGAAGATTGGGCCTTTGAAACATTTGTTGGCACATGAGTATTGCAGTGATGCCCTGGGGAAAGATCTGAAGAAGGCAAGGGAGGTCGTGGAGACCCTGGAGGAAACTGCAAGGACATTGGGCGATTTACAAGATGGGGAAAGCATCGACATAGAAAACTACCACAGGGTCTTTGACCGAGCCTACAAGGCGCTGATCAAGAGATTCTATGGAGAAAGAGCATGGGAGCAGCAGGAGAATAGTTATTACTTCATGTCTTACGTCACTGTGCACCAACAAATCTGCAGCTTGAGAGCAGCTTGACCACGGTCGGTCTGATTGCTCCTTCGAAGCGCTGTTCATTCTGATAGCCTTCATGACCTAAAGTGCAGATGCAAGTGGCCCCATGTACCATCTGAATAAAGTGACGAGAGTATTGAATTTGCAAGTTGAATGCTGACAGAACAAAATGTCAGCTTGACAACATCGTTATATCCTTTACATTCGGTACAACACCAAGCATGTTGATTAGTTACGGAATTTTATAGAGATGTGATAGATTAATATACACTGACAACGAAAAAGGTAATTCGTTCAGAGATTCTTTTCTAGAGCTTGAGGCTTTTTTGATTGATTTGAGCGTTTCTGGTCTTATCGTCGAGACTTTCTTCCACCAGGTCAGCCATAGCTTGGTTGATCTGTATTCTCTTTCCAGACAAAATCGCCTTCTTTGCTGCGTCCACCACATTGCCAAGGAGCAGTCCAGGTGCACCCTCAGTGTGCACCAACTTGCTGCCGGTATGTTTCGCAGCCTTGAGCTTGAAGCTACCTTTCAGAGTAATGGCTGCCTTGGGTACTTGGTTCACAGCATTGATACTTTCTTCCACGCCCTTTTGGAGTCTCGGCACCCTTACAATAGGTGCATCTCTACCCTGAAAAAATAATTCTTCTTGCAATGTGTGCTCAAGTTCGTCGTGATGATCAATTTGGATGCTCATTTCAGTTCTGATCATGTGCTATTGGAAGGAGAAGGCGAATCAAGCAGGCAGGCAGGAGGAAAAAGAGATGGAGCCGAGATGGAAGGAAGTGGAGGGAGGGAGGGAGGGACGACTGTTGAGGACTGGAGACGTAGAGTTGTGCTAGGATGGGTGCCAGTGGCGAGGTAAAGGGAATATGAAGGGGAAAGACGGGGGCGGTTTTCGTCTGAGATACCAAAAGATGCCATTTCAAAGATTATTAGACCCCTTAAATTTTTATAAATATATTAGATATCAGCAGACGCTCTGAGCCATGATGTGCGACCCTACACGTGGTTCCCATTATTAGAGCGAACCCCGACTTCTTCCGACGGTACCCCTCCTTTCCCCTACATCTCCTCGCATGTGGACCCTGCCTTTGCAACCCCCCTCGATCTTTCCACCCCTTTTCAATTGACCTCTTCAACAAGACATGTTCCCAGAGTCAAAATTCGTTTTTTTCCAAGTCTTCCCTTGGAGTACCCCCACCCCTGTCTTCCCAACTATGTCCCTCATTACGGGACACAATATCTTGTGATCTCCCCCAGCTTCCAAGCGGTGCCTTTTTTTGTTACACGGGTCAGAGATCGGTTACTCAATAATCGACCATCTTCGTCATATTTCTACGTGTTTTATGTCGCAGTACCAGAGATATAATATTGACTGTTTTTTCTGCCAGTAGTAATCGGCTTATTCGCGGCGGCCGCCCCCGCTGCAGCGGTCAATTTGCCTTCACTCGACGACTGACCGACTCGTGACTCGGAGATGTGTTGGCCTGACGTCACGGTCCGATCACAATTACAAAATGAGTAATAAAATAAAAGTACTTTCTTGCGTACATCATTTCTTTACTCAAAGTACTAGTGACAGAGTACCGTCCAGGCTCAGTACCGTACTAGCCGTACGGCAGCACTTGTTCCTTCAGTCTGCGAGTCGGCCGCGGCGGCCCGGGCCGGGCCACAGCGGCGTCGGACATCGCCGGGGAGTCGCTGACATGGCGCGGGGGACGGCGTCCCGGGACTCTCATTGTCCCCAGGCTGTCCTGCGGCGCGCAGTTAAGTGACGCTGTCTTCAGGTTTCTCTTGTCAGGGTCAAGCGCCGGCCTTCTCAGAGTCACTCGCCGCCGCTCCTGATTGTCCTCGTACTGATTTTTAACTCAACCGTTTGAGTAAAGAAAGGCTTTGACACGCTGATGACGGTAAACACGTAAGGGTCCCGGCGCCGCCGTCTTGCCGTTTACAGCCACCCGGGCCCGGCAACTGGGTGCGGCAGTGCTCCCGGCGAGGCTCTGCGCCGGGCTATCGTAACGGACCGTCCGCCGGGGAGTCGAGTCCTGGGACCGCCGGTCATCGGGTCCCGGCCGGGGCCAGCCGCGCCGCCGGGGCCGCCGGGCCGCTCGGAGCGTCCGAGTCTTTCGAGTCTTACTAGCACGGTCCGACGGTCTCCCGGCCTAGGCTCCGAGGCTCCGAGGCTCCGACTGAGCCTAGTAACTCAGTGACCGGGCCGGGCGGGCCGCGCCCGGGCCGGGCCCGGCGTGGTGGCCTCCTACGTGCCGGACAACTAAGGATCATGCTGGAGCCTCCAAGGCTCACTGGCGCCATGCGGGCGAAGTTGAAGGAGGGCGGTTCCTTCGATGTCCACAGACACGTCGCAATGCGATCACAGGCGCTGGCACAGGCGAGGAGAGCGCAGGGAAGAGGAAGAGGAGAGAGCTTCTCCTGGACGAGGTTTGCTGGCGAGCTCGCTGGTAAACCGGATGCTGAGCATACTGACGCGAGAAAGAAGCACGCGAGGCTCATGCAGGTGGTTGCCGACATGCTCGGAGGAGAGATCAGCTCTGAGGAGCTTCATGGAGCTGCGAAGATGATCTACGAGACTTTGACAGCTCCAGGAAAGTCGCAGGTTGAGAAGCGCGCTGAAATCACGCATGAGCTGGGGCATTTGGAGCAGGACATGCTGAAGGAAGCGTCGCAGATCTCATCGTTCCTGTTTGAGTGGAGCAAAAAATATGGAAGAGCTGAAGAAGAAGAAGAAGTACGCGACATTGCCCCTAAGAATCCTGCATTGTCTTGCCTTGTCAACCGGAAGAACGCCATCGACTGGATCCAAGAGCTTGGGAAGAGGCCGCTGCAGCACTCCTCTGACGAAACAGACGACGCGGAGGACGACAATAGAGATGAAAGTAGAAACCGCGACGAGTCCCATGAAAGCGCCGAGCTCGATGGCAAGGCCTGCAGTGATGCGGAGGTGCTCGAGTCGCGCCTGCTCGAGCACTGCTCAAGACAAGGACTGCCAGCCGACAACATCGTCAAGGAGGTTTACAGCATCATCTCCTCAAGCAAACCAGAGATCGAGTCAGTGCTCTTCGACCTGCTCGGGTTCGAGGCCTTCGAGCTGATCTCCTCCCTCATCTCCCACCGGACCATGATGGCCCTCCACGTTCAGGCGATGCGAACTGAATCGCTTCCTTCTGCTCGCTCCTCAAGGCAGGCCTTCAGCGCGGGGTTCAACATCACGTCTAGCTCCGAGCAGCAGCAGCTGAAGCTGCAGCGGAGAGAAGACAAGAAGAGGCGGAAAGAGGAGATAGATCAGGCAGGTTGGCTCATCAGCCAGGGCGTGGATCCTCTGTCAGTGCGGACGAGGAGGGACGAGGACTCGGAGCGAGCATCAGGAGACAGGAAGACAACCTTCGATGGCTCTGTGGCTGGCTTCGCGGGGATCTCTAAAGTTCAGCTGCCTGCTGGCACGAAGCGCGTTATGTACAAGAAGGACAATTATGAGGAGATCACGGTACCGGCTGTTACCCCCGCGAAGCCCAGGACGAGCGAGAGGCTCATTCCTGTTACAGAGTTCTCTGCCTTCTGCCAGCCAGCGTTCGAGGGGATGAAGAGTTTGAACAGGGTGCAGTCCATCGTCTTCCCAGTCGCGTACCAGACAGGCAACAACATGCTGGTCTGTGCGCCGACGGGAGCGGGCAAGACGGAGTGTGCGATGATGACGGTGCTCCAGTGTATCGAGCGGCACATAGAGCGAGGGGTGCTGAAGAGCGAGGAGTTCAAGATCGTCTACGTGGCTCCCATGAAGGCCCTTGCGGCCGAGGTTACGGAGAAGTTCTCTAAGAGGCTGGGCAAGCTCGGGCTGGTGGTGAAGGAGCTGACTGGCGACATGCAGCTCTCCCGCAGGGAGATCACCGACACGCACATGCTGGTGGTGACGCCTGAGAAATGGGACGTGATCACGAGGAAGAGCTCCGACGCCGCTCTCACGGACCTGGTGAAGCTGCTCATCATCGACGAGATCCACTTGCTCAACGAGGACCGCGGCGCCGTGCTCGAGGCCATCGTTGCGAGGACGCTCCGTCAGGTCGAGAGGTCGCAGACGATGATCAGGATCGTTGGGCTGTCTGCCACCCTCCCGACTTACAAGGACGTGGCGGTCTTCCTCCGCGTCAACATCGATAGGGACCTGTTCTACTTTGACAACTCTTTCCGCCCCGTTCCTCTCGAGACGGCCTTCATCGGCGTGCTAGGGAATAACCCGAACAAGCAGAAGTACACGATGCTGGAGGTGACTTACAAGAAGGCGCTCGAGCGGATCAAGGCTGGGTACCAGGTCATGGTCTTCGTCCACTCTCGCAAGGATACGCTGAAGACAGCTCGGACTCTGGTGGAGATGGCGCAGCAGGAAGGAACTCTCGGGGTCTTTGACATGCGGGAGCATCCGAGGTATGAGTTCTGGAACAAGACGGTGATGAAGTCGAGGAACAAGGAAATCCGCGAGCTGTTTGCCAACGGCTTCTCCGTCCACCACGCGGGGATCCTAAGGTCGGACCGCAACATCGTCGAGAAGATGTTCTCCGAAGGCGTCGTCAAGGTCCTTTGCTGCACGGCGACCCTTGCCTGGGGGGTCAACCTGCCTGCCCACACCGTCATTATCAAGGGGACGCAGCTCTACGACGCGAAGAAGGGAAAGTTCGTCGAGCTCGGGATCCTGGACGTGATGCAGATCTTCGGTAGGGCAGGGAGGCCGCAGTTTGACACGAGCGGCGAGGGGATCATCGTTACCACCCACGACCAGGTCAACCACTACCTCCAGCTGATGCACAACGCGCTCCCGATCGAGTCGCAGTTCCTGAGCTCCCTTACCGATCACCTCAACGCTGAGATCGTGCTGGGCACGGTCAGGAACATCCGAGAGGCGGTCGCCTGGCTGTCCTACACCTACTGCTACGTCCGCATGCTAAGGAACCCGACCAACTACGGCATCCAATTCTCGGAGATCCAGCAGGACCCCCAGCTGTACCGGCGCTGCAGGGAGCTCATTATGATGAGCATCAAGGAGCTCTGTCAGGCCAAGATGTCAAGGTTCAACTTTGACACGGAGAACATCAACACGACAGACGTCGGCATCGTCGCCTCTCACTTCTACGTCAAGTTCGCGTCGCTCGAGCTCTACAACGAGCTGGTCTCCCCGTCCATGACGGAGGCCGACTGCTTCGACGTCCTCTCCCGCTCCTCCGAGTTCGAGAACGTCCAGGCGCGCGACGAGGAGAACCAGGAGCTTGTCCAGCTCCTCGTTGACTGTCCCATCAAGGTCAACACGCAGTTCGTGGAAGGGGAGGGCATCCTCATCGACCCTCCAGCCAAGGTCAACATCCTCCTCCAGTCCTACATCTCCAAGGCCGAGATCGACGGGTTTGCCCTCGTTGCCGACCAGAACCACGTGGTGCAGAGCGCCGGGAGGATTTTCCGCGCGCTGTTTGAGCTCTCGCTCAAGAAGGGGTGGGTGACCCTTGCTGGGCGCCTGCTGACCCTCTGCAAGGTGGTGGAGAGGAGGATCTGGGATTTCCAGCATCCCCTAAGGCAGTTCGGCCACGTCATCCCCGCCGAGTGGCTGTACAGGCTGGAAGAGAAGAAGCTGACACTCGAGAGGCTGGTGGACATGAGCCCGACTGAGATCAGCAACATCATCAGGCAGAACGGGTCGGGAAAGATCATCATGAAGTTCGTGCAGCAGTTCCCCTACCTCGACCTGTCCGTCTCCGTCCAGCCCATCACGCGGACGATCCTGCGAGTGATGATGAAGATCAGGGCAGAGTTCGAGTGGAGCGACAGGGTGCACGGGACGGTGGAGCCCTGGTGGATCATAGTGGAGGACAATGAGAACGAGAAGATCTATCACTCCGAGTACTTCCTGCTCCACAAGAAGCAGAAGGACGAGACCCACACGCTTGCCTTCACCGTCCCCATCTTCGAGCCTGTCCAGCCCCAGTACGTGATCCGCGTCATCTCCGACCGCTGGCTGGGAGCGGAGTACGTCGAGGTGGTAGCGCTCAAGGATCTGACCCTCCCCGACAAGTACCCAGCTCACACTTCCCTCCTCAAGCTCTGCCCGCTCCCCAAGGAAGTGCTGCAGAACGAGCAGTTCGAGTCGCTGTACAAGTTCACGCACTTCAACGCCATCCAGACGCAAGTCTTCCACTCCTTCTATCATACCGACGTGAACATCCTTCTCGGAGCCCCGACCGGGAGCGGCAAGACCAACTGCGCCGAGCTCTGCATGCTCCGCCTGTTCCGCACGCGGCCCAAGGCGAAGATGGTGTACGTGGCTCCTCTCAAGGCGCTGGTGCGAGAGAGGATGAAGGACTGGGGCGTCAGGCTGGTCAAGCAGCTGGGCAAGCAGGTGGTGGAGCTGACGGGAGACTCAGCGGCGGACCTGGGGGCGGTGGAGCATGCCGACGTCATCGTGACGACGCCGGAGAAGTGGGACGGGGTGACGCGCGGGTGGCAGACGAGAAAGTACGTGCAGAGTGTGGGGCTGGTGGTGATCGACGAGATCCACCTGCTGGGGGAGGACCGCGGGCCCGTGCTGGAGGTGATAGTCTCCCGCATGCGGTATATCTCCGCTCAGACCTCCTCCCCCATCCGCTTCGTCGGCATGTCCACGGCCATCGCCAACGCGCAGGACGTGGCGGACTGGCTGGGGGCCAAGGAGGACGGCATCTTCAACTTCCATCCCTCCGTCCGCCCTGTGCCGATGCAGGTTCACATCCAGGGCTACGAGGGAAAGCACTACTGCCCGCGCATGGCGACCATGAACAAGCCGACGTTCGCTGCCATCCAAGATTACTCGCAGCACCAGCCCGTCATTGTCTTCGTCTCCTCCCGCCGACAGACTCGCCTGACAGCTCTCGATCTCATTCAGGTCCCGCATCCCCAACCTCCTTGTTCCTCCAACCCTCCCTCCTTCTATGTCCCTCCCCTCTCCTCCCCTCCTTCCCCCCTGGCCCACCTTTCCCCTTCATCCCCTATCGTCCTCCCTTCTCTCACCCCTCTGCTTTACTTCCTCTTTCCCCCTCTGCTCTCTGTCTCTTCCTGGCTTCCCTCCTCCTTCTCAACCGTTCCATCCCTACCAGCACCTCCCTCCCATCCTCCCCGTTCTCCTTCCCTGACGCCATACCTGCAGCTCGCTGCTCAGACAGAAAACCCCCGGCAGTTCGTCCATATGGACGAGATGGAGTTGGCGCATGCTGTAAACCTTGTGAAGGATCCCAACTTGAGGCACACCCTGTCCTTCGGCATCGGGCTGCATCATGCCGGACTGTGCGAGTCTGACAGGTCGCTGGTGGAGAATCTGTTTGAGCAGGTAGATGTTGTCCGTTGATGTGTGGCGTTGATCAGAATGTTTTCCTCCCCTCTCTCTCTCTCTCTCTCTCTCTCTCTCTCTCTCTCGCTCTCCTCTCGCTCTCCTCTCCTCTCTCTCTTTCCTCTTCCCTCTCCTCTTCCCTCTCCTCCTGTCCTCTTCCCTTCACTCTCCTCCACCCTCCAGTCGAAGATCCAGGTCCTCTGCTCCACCTCCACCCTAGCATGGGGCGTCAACCTCCCTGCACATCTGGTCGTCGTCAAGGGCACGGAGTTCTACGACGCTCCTTCCAAGCGCTACGTCGACTTTCCCATCACCGACGTCCTTCAGATGATGGGGAGGGCAGGAAGGCCGCAGTTCGACACGGTGGGGATAGCGGTGGTGATGGTGCATGCTCCGAAGAAGAGCTTCTGGAAGAGATTTCTGTACGAGCCCTTTCCCGTCGAGTCCGCCCTCTCCGACGTCCTCCACAACCATCTCAACGCCGAGATCGTCAACGGAACTATCAAGTGCAAGATGCATGCGATTGACTACCTCACTTGGACCTATTTCTTCCGAAGGCTCCTGTGCAACCCTTCCTACTACCACCTTGAAGATACCTCCAAGGTATGCGCACCTCTCCGTCTCCGATCCTTTCTGTTCCCTCGTTGTCTCCTCCTTCCTCCTTCCTCCTTCGTCTTCCTTCCCCTGCTCGTTCCTTCTGTTCTCCAGTCCTCAGTCGTCTTCTAAGTGGGACCCTATTGTGCTTGCCTTGCTTTCCCTTCTCCACTCCCCCCCTCTCCTCTCCTCTCCTGTTCTCCTCTCCCTTCTCCTCTCCCTTCTCCTCTCCTCTCCTCCTCTCCTCTCCTCTCCTCTCCTCTCCTCCTCCCCTCCCCTCTCCCTCCTCTCTCATCTCATCGGCAGGACGGAATCTCTTCTTACCTCGCGTCCCTGGTCGAGAGAACCATCGAGGACCTCGAGGACGCGGAGTGCCTGGAGGTGGACGGGGATAATTTCGCTCCTACCACCCTAGGGCGCATCTCAGCCTTCTACTACCTCGACTACTCTACCGTTCACTTCTTCTCCTCCAAGGTGGAGGATCTGACAAGCGAGGCCCAAGTCATCAGCATCCTCACCAAGGCAAAGGAGTTTGCAGAGCTTCCAGTTCGCCACAACGAGGACAATCTCAACGACGAGTTCTCGAAGCAGGTGCGATGGTTGGACGTGATCCGTTGTTGTACTCGAACTCGCGCCTGTACTTGTACTTGAATTTGAACTTCAGTTGTAGATGTAGATGTAGATGTAGATGTAGATGTAGATGTAGATGTAGATGTAGATGTAGATGTAGATGTAGGTGTAGTCGTATTTCTTTTTCTTCAGCTCACCTTTGCTTTGTTCAGGTGAAATATGGGGGAATGGGCGGATCAATGGAAAGTCCGCACACCAAAGCAAACTTGCTGATTCAGGTAAAGACAAGAAAAGGAGAGGAGAGGAAAGGAGAGGAGAGGAGAGGAGAGGAGAAGAGAGGAGAAGAGAGGAGAAGAGAGGAGAGGGGAGGGGAAAGGAGAGGAGAGGAGGGGAGGGGAAGGGAGGGGAGGGGAGGGGAGGGGAGGGGAGGGGAGGAGAGCAAGGAGGAGGGGAGGGTGGAGTTTTTCGTCTCAGGTCACTGCAGGCACACATTGGGCGCGTTCCTCTCCCCATCGCCGACTACAACACAGACCTTCGCTCGCTACTCGATCAAGTTCCTCGCGTCCTTCAATCTCTCGTTGACATCGCTGCTGACAGCGGTACCTCGGCTCTCGTCCCATCCAGCTCCTATCTCCTGCTTCTCCTGCTCCTGCTTCTCCTGCTCCTGCTCCCCTGTTCCTGCTGCTGCTGCTGCCTCCTGCTCCTGCTCCTGCTCCTGCTCCTGCTTCTGCTCCTGCTCCTGCTCCTGCTCCTGCTCACGTCTTGCAGGATATCTCTCTCAAGCTCTGCACGTCATGCGGCTTTCTCAGAGCATCACGCAGTGCATGTGGGCCGATGCTTCTCCCCTCCTCATGCTGCCCCACGTCAACGAGAGAGTCGGCAGGCAACTCGAACAGGTCCAGCTCCAGCTCCAGCTCCTGCTCCTGCTCCTGCTCCTGCTCCTGCTTCTGCCCTTGCCCTTGCCCCTGCCCCTGCCCCTGCCCCTGCCCCTTCACCTGCTTCTGCACTTTCTCAGCCTCCTCCTCCTGAGCAACCTCGTTCCCTCCTCCTCCTGTCCTCTCGTCCTTGCGTCCTCACTTTCTCTGAGCTCTATCCTTCAGTCCTAGACTCTTGTCCCTTTCTTGTTCCTCTTTTCCTTCAAGCTTCCTTCTCTTTGTTCACTTCCTCGCCCACTCCCTCCCCTACTCTTATCCCAGTTGGTTGACTTACAACCCTCCAGCGAGGATGCCGAGATCTCCACTCCCTTCACGCGTGCGGGTCAGCGCAAGAAATCATGAGGATGCTTCGCAACTGCGGCCTGGACTCGCTGCATGCTGGATCTGTCCTGCAGGTGGAGCTCAAGAGAGTGAAGGAGGAGGAGAGGAGGAGGGAGGGGAGGAGTCTGGAGGGGGGAGAAGAGGAGTGAAAGTTCTGACGCAAGGAGGGGATGGGAAGGGGCTGGGCAAGGAGGGAGAGAGTAGCCCAAGAAGGGGAGGGAAGGGAGTGGGCAGGAGGGATGGGAGGAGGAAGCGATTCGTGACTGTCTACCAGGTTCTTGATCAACTACCGTTGCTTTCTGTGGACGTTTCGATCACAGAGGAGAAGGAGAACGAGAAGGAGGAGGGGGAGGAGGGGGAGAGTTTCGTGTCGCTGCAAGCAGGGCAGGAGGGGGTCGCCCGTGTCAGGGTAACGCAGAGGAATCGAAGGAAGAGGGGAGTGCGGGCGTTCGCTCCAAAGTACCCCAAACCTCGCGACGAAGGATGGTGAGTAGAGAAACAACAGCAGCAGCAGCAGCAGCAGGCGATTAGTCCTTGTCCTCATCCTCGTCCTAGTTCAGTTCCTCTTCGTCGTCTTCCCCTCCTCCCTCTCTCTCTCCTCTCTCCCTCTTCGCACTGAGCTGGAAGCACAGGTGGGCTGTGATGGGATGCGAAGAGACGGACGAGCTGTTGGCCCTCAAGAGGATCAACGTCCGCAGGGAGATGACGAGGTAAGGGGGAGGAGAGATGGGAGGAGGGGGAGGGGAAGGAGGAGGAGGAGGGGGAAAGGAGGAGGAGGAGGGGGAGGGGCAGGGGGAGGATGCAAGATTAGGAGTGAGGAGCGGAGGAGGAAGAGGATAAGGGGAAAACAAGTTTGACTTGCCGCTTGCAGCACGAGCCTCTCTTTCCTTGCACCGGAAGAGAAAGGTGAGACAGCAGAGGAGGAGGAGAGAGGGGAGGGAGGGAAGGGAGAGGAGCAGGGAGAGGGAGGGTAGGAAGAGGTCGACAAGGGAGGGTTGGGAGGAGACAGGACGACGAGGAGGAGGGGAAAGTTGACGATTAGCTTGTGCAGGGGACATGCATCTGGTAGTTTATCTCATCTCAGATTGCTACCTTGGGTTGGACTGCGAGAAGAAGGTAGCGATCTCGGTTGTTTGATAGGAAAGAGAAGGAGAAATCCAAAAGCTCGAAATGTGCGACTTTTCTCATCACGCCTCCTTTCCTCCCTTGTCTTTCTTCTCTATCGTTGCTTCCTCAACTTCTACCTGCCTGCCTCCCTCCTGCCTCCCTCCTGCCTTCGTCCTGCCTTCGTCCTGCCTTCCTTTCTTCCTGCCTTTCGTCCTCCTCCCTGGCTCCCACTCCTTCCTTTGTACACCAGCACGCCTATTCACATCTCCTCTTCACTCCGTCCTCTCCTCGCGGGACGTACTTCACTTCATCATCACATGGATCCACTTGGAACAAGAATCGCAGTTGACCGTTTCAGCCTCGCCCTTCCTCAGACCACCCGCCCTGTCACCCCGTCACTCTGGCCACCATGACGCAACTTCCTGTCTCCTTACAGCAGGTAGCTTCCCGTGCAATGGCACTCGTACACGTAGCAAGCGTTCCCGTCCCCGTCTTCCTCCTTCTCCATCTCATCGATCCCAATCACCTTCATCCCGTATCAGGACAAGGCGCCTGGTCGACTTCTAGTCACCTTGTCAATTACGGGAGTCTCGTAGCGATGCTCGGACGTCTCTTTCATGCTCTTCCAGAATTTCTCCACCAGCGCCTCTGGGTACGAGAGAGCAGGAGCAGCGTCAGTGGGGCCGAGCGAGAGCGAAGGAGAAGCATTGCGAGCCATGCACCGTAGTCAATGTCGTAGTCGTACGAAGGACAACGGTCCTCCTCCTCCTCCCTCCCTCCTCCTCCCTCGCCAGCTTTCGCTCTCAGGACCTCGTATGCTCGATACAGGTCTTTGAAGCCTGGCAGAGCAGGATCATACCTCCTCCCAGCACGAGTCGTGCTCCTTACGCTCTTCCACCACCTCTCTCTCCATCCCTGGGTTCTTGTCTGGATGCAGTTTGCGCGCCTTCTTGAGGAACGCTGCTCTGACCTTCCTCGGAGTGCCCTCAGAGGAAGCACAAGTGAAGCCAAGAGAGGAGGAGGACGAAGAGATGGCGGAAGAGTGGGATTGAAGTGAGGGAAGAGGAGCTGGAAGCAAGAAGAGGGCAGGAAAGAGGAGGAAGCAGGAGGGCAGCAGGAGAGTGTGGGGGAAGGGACGGAGCAATCAATGTACCTCCTTTCTTGAAGCGTTCGGTCTCCTGCAACGCGTTTCATCACATGGTGATAATGTGTCCCTGCACTTACACGCCAAGGATCTTCCAAGGTTTCTCAACAGCGCTTGCCGTGCATCGAGCCATGGTAGCGATGAAGAGGAGGAGGAGGAGGAGGATCAGGGGAGTCTTGCTGCTGCTCATCCTACTACATCTCCTCCCTGTCCTTGGCTGCCACCCATCGTCACCTTGTCACATCTCTGCAGACCACATCACGCTTAGAAGAGCCCTGCTCCTGCTCCTGCTCCTGCTCCTGCTCCTGCTCCTGCTCCTGCTCCTGCTCCTCGCTCGCTCGCCTCCCTTTACTCGTCCCCTCAAACCACTTCTTTCCCTCTCTCTTCTGTTCCTAGCTGACCAACTTTCAGCCTCCTCGGTGTCAACTCTCATTGCTCCCTCTCCCTCTTTC